ACAGTTTGCGGCAGATTCCGCCACGATGTTTTCTGTTTTGGGACAGTTATTTTGTTTCTCTTTGTGTTTACTTTTGGACACTTGCCCCCCGTCCAGCACCCCTCCAACTACCCTGGTTGGGTTGTTTTTCGTTTTGGACCTTTTAAGGACATCTTTTGAGGGAGGTTGTGGGGTACTGTAAGGATTTATTTTTTTGAGTGTGTATGTTCCTAGTTTATTGAGTCTCCATGTAGTGTCTTGTTTGGTTTTTTTTGCCCTTAATTGTCTCCAGCTGTCCCTTGTGTCCTGATTACTCCTCTGTGTATTTAATTCCACCTTTTTCTGTTTCCCGTCAGATCCTTGTCGTGTGGCGGATGTTACCTTATGTCTCCCTATTTCCTGTGTTGTGCCTTACCTGTTGCTAGCAGTGTCTGAGCTCTTTGTCTCATTGCTCAGCAGTGCTACCTGGACTTCTGTATTCTTTTTAGATTCATCATTAAAAAACTATTTTCACTACAACCTGAGTTCACCACGTCTAAATCCTCACCACCAACAAACCACCAACTCATGACATTTAGTGCATCAACATGTGCTATCTTTATACTTTACAATGATACTCAAATGAAGGAATCTGGTATAGCAAGACCCTCGTATTTACTCAGTAGGATATTTTGATGGAGTTTTGGTAGATCAACATGTACTGCCATGTGTATTTTATGAAGGTAGGATTCTAATATGGGCTTTTAGTCCATCTAAATGTTTCCGCTTTACATTTTAAAACAGCATGCTACTCTCATGAAGAATATTAGTGCATTTACACAAACAGGTATTTTTAAATGGGCTTAAAAAATATGTAAAAGATACAGGTGCTTTTCTAAAAGATACAGGTGCTAGTCTAAAAGCACCTGTATCTTTTCACATTTTTTTCAAATCACTACTGAAATCCTGTCATTTGAATATAATACATGGAAATCAGTCTAACATTGACACTAACTCCTAAGGTCCTTGGTATGTAAACATGATGGTAGTGATTTTCAAAAGGGAGCACTGACTAATAAACATAGATTATATTGCCAAGTGAGCTTAAGTGACATCACATTTCTAATTCATAGGGTTTAATATAATGTTTGTCCACCCTCTAGAACAGCTTCCGCTCTTCTGGGACGGCTGTCCACGAACATTGGGAATGTGTTTCATGAGGATTTTTGACCATTATTCCAGAAGTGTATTTGTGAGGTCACATATTGGATGAGAAGGCCTGGCTCTCAGACCCAGCTCTAATTCACCCCAAAGGTGTTCTGTCAGGTTAAGGTCAGGACAAGTGAAGTTCGTCCACACCAAACTCTTTATGGACCTTGCTTTGTGCTCTGATGCACACTCCTATAGGAGTAGGAGTGTAGCATTCTGGAATTATCCAAAATGTCTCGGGATGCTAGAGCATTCAGAGTTCTTTTCACTGGAACTAAAGGGTCAAGCCTAGCTCCTGAAAACCAATTCCCTCCACCAACATTTATACTTAGCACATTGCAGTCAGACATGTACCGTTTTCCTAGCAACCACTAAACCCAAACATGTTCATCAGATTGGCAGATGGAGAATCATTCCAGAGAATGCGCCGGAGAATCCACTGCATTCACTGAGAATCCACTGCTCTAGAGTCCAGTGGTGGCGTGCTTCACACCACTGCATCTGACGCTTTGCATTGCACTTGGATGCAGCTGGTCACCATGGAAACCAATTCCATGTAGCTCTGTGCACTGTTCTTGAGGTCTTCTCAGGATTTATTGCACAGATGGCATCCTATCATAGTTCCACGCAGGAATTCACTCAGCTCCTGAGAGCGACCCATTCTTTCACAAATGATTGTAAAACAGTCTGCATGTCAAGGTGTTTAATTTGATACACTTGTGGCCATGGAAGTGATTGGAACTCCTGATTCTGATCATTTGATGGGTGATGTGAAGTAGATTTTTCTTCAATTAGAAAATGTTTTATTTGCATGGTACAGTGTTCTTTTATGTATCACATAAATGTAATTGTGTCATAGTCAAAATGTTTTTCATGCAGCTGCAGAGGGTGTACAAAGTAATTGAACAAGATGTGTATGTTGAAGTTTCCCAGACGGGTTATCTGGGAACTTGCTGTTTTTACCGTGGTCTTCCCCGCATGGAGATAGAGTGTTTAGTTTTCGCATCCCGTAGACAGGATAGTGAATGAGCGTATAAGGTTTAACTGTTCCGTCTGTTTTCCTTTGTTTCCTTTGTTTGGTCCTTGAAGATTGAGTCTCCGCCTCTATTAGCAGAGAGAGGTGAATAAAGCAACTATGCAACTCTGAGTTCGTTAAAGCAGAATGATTTTCGCCTAATGCAGTGTTTTTGCTCCCTGACTTTTGTCTAGATCTTAGTCTCTGAATTGTGCACTTCACAGTGAGCCAATACTTTTGCCAATATACAGTCATGGCCAAAAGTTTTGAGAATGATTCAAATGTTAATATTTACAAAGTCTACTGCTTCAGTTTTTATAATGGCAATTTGCATATACTCCACAATGTTATAAAGAGTGATCAGTGTAACAGCAATTAATTGCAAAGTCAATATTTGCCTAGAAAATGAACTTTATCCCCCAAAACACATTTCAACTTCATTGCAGCCCTGCCTTAAAAGGACCACCTAACATTGTTTCAGTGATTGCTCCATTAACACAGGTGTAGGTGGTGATGAGGACAGGACTGGAGATCAATCTGTCATGATTAAGTAAGAAAGACACTTTGAAAAGAGGCTGGTGCTTGGCATCATTGTTTCTCTTCTGTGAACCATGCATATGTTTCTTTAGAGTAAAGAAACACGTGCAGTCATCATTGCAATGCACAAAATTGGCCCAATAGGAAGAGAATCGCAGCTAGAAAGATTGCACCTCAGTCAACAATCTATTGTATCATCAAGAACTTCAAGGAGAGAGGTTCCATTGTTGCCAAAAAGGCTCCAGGGTGCCCAAGAAAGACCAGCAAGCACCAGGACCGTCTCTTAAAAGTGTTTCAGCTGCGGGATCGGGCTACCAGCAGTGCAGAGCTTGCTCAGGAATGGCAGCAGGCAGGTGTGAGTGCATCTGCACGCACTGTGAGGCGGAGACTCTCGGAGCAAGGCCTGGTCTCAAGGAGGGCAGCAAAGAAGAAGCCAATTCTCTCCAGGAAAAACATCAGGGACAGACTGATATTCTGCAAAAGGTACAGGGAGTGGACTGCTGAGGACTGGGGGTAAAGTCATTTTCTCTGATGAATCCCCTTTCCGATTGTTTGGGACATCTGGAAAACAGCTTGTTCGGAAAAGACGAGGTGAGCGCTACCACCAGTCTTGTCTCATGCCAACTGTAAAGCATCCTGAAACCATTCATGTGTGGGGTTGCTTCTCAGCCAAGGGAGTCGGCTCTCTCACAGTCTTACCTAAAAACACAGCCATGAATAAAGAATGGTACCAGAATGTCCTCCGAGAGCAACTTCTCCCAACCGTCCAAGAGCAGTTTGGTGATGAACAATGCCTTTTCCAGCATGATGGAGCACCTTGCCATAAAGCAAAGGTGATATCTAACTGGCTCAGGGAACAAAACATAGAGATTTTGGGTCCATGGCCTGGAAACTCCCCTGATCTTATCCCATTGAAAACTTGTGGTCAATCATCAAGAGAGGGGTGGACAAACGAAAACCTAGGATTTCTGACAAAATGCAAAGCATTGATTGTGCAAGAATGGACTGCTATCAGTCAGGATTTGGTCCAGAAGTTGATTGAGAGCATACCAGGGAGAATTGCAGAGGTCCTGAAGAAGAGGGTTCAACACTGCAAATATTGACTTGCTGCATTAACTCATTCTAACTGTCAATAAAAGCTTTTGTTTCTCATAATATGATTGCAATTGTATTTCTGTATGTGATGACAACATCTGACATACATACATGAAAACCAGAGGGCAGCAGATCATGTGAAAATATAATATTTGTATCATTCTCAATACTTTTGGCCATGACTGTAGTGTTCTTAGGAAGGAGAAATATTAGTTTGTCTAAGTAATACTGAAATGCCATAACATTGAAATAAAACAATATTCTGTCTTGAGGAAATATTTTTCACATTTCCTCTAAAGTATATCTACTTTTTATTGTGCTAATTTTCATAAGGATGTTGTCTATAAATGTTTTATGGACTGAGAGTTTGTAAAATTCTGTAACAGTACATTAGCAATGTACTCTTGAAACGTGTAAATATGTTGAAAACACAAAGTAATTTTTTTTCAATCGCAAAGTGTGCTGCTGTAGAGCTCTGGTTTGCAGTACTGTAGTGTGTTGTGCAGCATGTAATGTACAAAGTAGCAAAGCAGAATAATAAGTTATTGATAAGTAATTAAAAAGTGTACTTGATTGGCAATTATAGGAAACCAAAAATTTAATTGGAGCATTCTGTGATCACACTATTAATATTTAGTATATATAATGCGAATATTTATAAGACATTTCAATTATATTTGAAATGTAATTTGCTCACAAAAATGATACATTTAAGATATACTAATCAAGCGTGTTTGTTTCATATGAAAAGTGTTATACTTAAAGAACACTAAGTATACTTTTGGTTGCTCCAAGAAAAGCATGTGCTAGTACACTTAGTACACTTTAAATTATGATTTTCTACAATGTAATTACAATAAAAATACATGAAGAACAAACTAGTGGTTCCAAAATAACATGCTTCAAGTAAAATAATCCTTAAACTTGAAATAGATTGATGATTAGTCTGGCTTCAAGTATGCTCAAGTTTACTAAGATTTAATATTCATAGCACATATTTTTCACAAGGGTTCGCATGACCTGCAGACTCTTAACAGCACATCTGTAGTCAAGTGCTGCCTCATTTAAACTCAGCTTCAACTGGCCATCCTCTGAAAGTGTGCGAGGTTCTCACTCTACATCTGCAGGAGTTGGTGTAAGCAAATATTAATCATAGAAATTTCTCTCTGCTTGTGTTCCACCTCAGACCTGCGACGAATGACAGCTGGTTTTATGGGCATGGCAGTGGCCATCATTCTGTTTGGCTGGATCATTGGCTTGCTTGGCTGCTGTTGGGATCGAGGTCTCATGCAATATGTGGCTGGCCTGCTCTTCCTCATGGGAGGTGAGTGTACGACAAAGTGTTAGTTCAAGTTAACTGTTTCACTCTCTAGCAAAGATGGTACCATCTTTGTTTTTAACTAGATTAAAACACATTCTAATTTTTTTATTTGACTATTTCAATTTGTGGTAAGTTGATAGTTGTGACTGCAGCAACTACTAAAGATCAAACTTAGACATGTTTATATGGACATAAGTAGTAGAAATCAGCAGCTGATCAGAAAAAAAAAATGCAAACAGCCCAACTGGAATATTATGGTCTGATTCAGGTCCATCAGAATGAAGTTGTAATCCAAATAAGAGGGTTGTTTTATGCCAAATGATGCGAACTATGTGCAGAACAGGTGATATGATCATATCTTTCTGGAAAACTGACATGACTGAGCATGTGTAAGCCATGTCAACACAACATGCTCACATATGAATAACTTTGAAAACAATTAGCAACATCCTATTACTGTTTTTAAATGTGTTTAAAAGCATACCCCAAGATTAATGAGGCAACCAGCCTCAAGTGAGCAAATCAATGCTGTTAAATTTTATTGTCCAGTGGCAGATTTTTTGTGTGTGTGATTACTTACTAAATTTACTTACTAAATTTTAGTGATTAATATAAAAAATTGCCTTGTTTCATTCCTATATTAAAAAACACAGACTCACCTCAAAATTCTGTATGCAGCAGGTTATCTTACCAGGGCAAATGACTGATTTCAATAGAACTTTACTAACTTGAAAATTCTGCTTCAAGTCTAGATCTTAGCCATCCAGTTTTCATATTTTAAATTTAAAGTTATAGTTTATATTCTGTTTCCTCGGAGGGCTCAGAAAGGCTCTCTGAGCAGAAGTGAAGTATAAACATAGTGAGAGTGCTAACGTCCCAAGTGTTTGTTCAGCAGTGTGTCTCATTTGTAACATGGGCAGCCAATGGAAGCTTCACACACAGCATAACAGCTCAGCTTGGCAAGAGGCAGCTGCACACTCAGCTATGATCAATCTTGGATTAAGGCTGTGCCACTAGAGTTTTATAATGAATAAGCAATTAAAATCCAATTATATTTCTTGGCAATAAAAACTTAGAAAATATGCTTAGTCACTCTGCAGGAGCCAAATCACAGCTAAGCGACACAGAGGGTCACAGCCAGCCCAAATTTAGGATCTGTTTCTTCATCTGATTTAGCTAAGAGTTCACATAAGAGCTGATCATTAAAATGATGTATCAACAAATATATGTCATCATTTTAATGTAGCATGCTAATTTTATCTTGTCTCAACTTTTGTGCATCATTAAATCTGTTAACATTTAGACCACAAAAATCTGTGGAGTTTTTTGTGGTCTAAATGTAACCAAATAACCAATTCTTCCCATGCAGCTGCTTTATTTTCTATAAATGAGCTATAAAACTGTTTTTTCAGGACAATGAACTGTAAATGTATTGGGGGCGGGGGAGGTGAAGAATAATAAGATCAGAAAAAGGAAACCAAAAATGATCAAGCTTCCCCTTTCCTTTTTATTCTTTTTTTTATCCTCCTCTCCTATCACTACTTCCTCTACTTCCTTTTTTTCTAGTCGTCCAAATCCCATTTGGAAAGGAATTCAAACTCTGGTCAATCAAATCAATCAGTGCAATTACTGCTCCCTTCTGAGCTAAATTCCAATTAATTGCTGGGATTAGGCACAGATGACATCCAGAGTTATCTTTGCAAATTATAAAAGGTTTTATTTATCTTAATACAAAAACCCAGTCTGTCACATATGGTGCCTAACGCTCCTCAGCAGAACGAAACATTGCACTGCCCCGCCAAAGGCAAGTTCAAGGAACACACCTAAAACATTTGCATTCAATGACAAATAGGACATTTCAGTACCAAAGATAAAGGCAGGAGACTGACACAAAACCAAGTTCTGAAAGAATGAACAAGCTACAATGAATAATAAATGAACTTATTATCATAAACAAAACAATTTGGGTGGGGTACTTGTGAACTATAATACACATGAACAGTAAAATAAATGAACTAATAAATTTGATGTCTCTCACATATGCCGACTTCAAATCAGACTGGCTTGGTATGTGTAGAACAGAAATGATCAGCTCTGCTCAGAAGAATTGAATTGAATTGCACCACAGGGACTAATGCAAAAACTCCAAACACGGCTTTGAACGCAGGCCAGGGCCTGCAGTACAAAAGCACCTTAAGATGATCAAACTTGTCCTTCAAAATGTCAAAATGTGAGGAGACATTGATTATTAATCAATAACTGTGCTAAACGTCAACTTTTGTTCTACTTCTGTTGTTACAGGAACTTTCTGCATTATCTCCCTCTGTACCTGTGTTGCTGGCATTAACTTTGAGCTTTCCCGTTTTCCACGGTACCTGTACGGCCTTCCTGACGACATTGGCCATGGCTATGGATGGTCTATGTTTTGCGCATGGGGAGGTCTTGGCCTTACCCTCATCGCTGGTTTCTTCTGCACCCTGGCTCCCTCTGTTCAGCCAATACCCAGATCCACCTGTCCCAAAGCTCGGCAAGAGAACGGCACTGTCTGCTAAAGCTAGAAAAAGTGAACAGACCAGCTACATCAATTGATTATAAAATAGACAAACTGTCAACTCATGTCATCTGCCTACTTATCATTGATCAGTTCTGGGTACAGAGTTTTTAAATTGTGTGTGTTTGAAATGGATATCTTGATAATCTGGTTTCTTGATCATACAATGAGAGGGTCAAGATCTTAGAAGAAATAAATAAAAAATTATTCTGTCTTTTGTTATTGTGGGACAGATGTGGAAATTGACCTTGGATAGGAAAATATTCCAAGAAACGGACTGATGTGTGGAGCTTGTCACCTGAAGATTGGGTGTAAGTGTAAAAATGGATAGTAACAATTTGACAAAGATGTGTTCTCTGTTCTTGCCTGGTGTAATGCAGTTGGTTTCTTTAGAATTCTCACAGGAACCAGATTGAACTAATCCAGGGTTATCATCTGAGTAAACTTTTCTGTGCACCATGCAAAGTTGCATGTAACAAATGAGCGGGATTAAGATACAAACTCAATTGTTGTTAATTATTAACTGGAATATTCCAAAAATGGTAACAGGAAACAGGAATTTTCATATTGGATTGCTGTTATTCTGTATAGGCGCATTCCTTTGCCTACAATGACCTTACATGCCATTAAGTATTTTGACCATACAATTTTTGTTTAATTTTTTTATTGATTCCCTCATTTTGTGAACAAACAGAAATTTTCTGTCAGAGCAAATGCCTTGTGTCCTTTTATTCATGAGTATGTATGAGTATGAGCATGTTGGCAAGAAGGTGATTTTACTGTCTATACAACAAATCTTTTTATTTAATAAAGTAGATACATAGATTGAATATGTAAAAAATCTATTTCTTTTAATCTGAGTTACTGATGAATCAAGTTAAGAGGGAGCATATTCACATTAAGATTTTGCTGCCTTCAGAAGGAGTGAAAAAGCATGTAGGTTTTTTGTAACTCATTCTTTGGTATTGATTTCCTGGTCAACTGTCCACAATTTCCTCCCTCTATTGGGTTCCATATCACAAGAAAGCACAAATTTATCCAGCTGACATATTCTAGACCCAGGAGATCATGTCATGTATCAGTAAAATCTTAACTCGCCTTAATCACCATCAATGACTTCCAGAGATTTGTCTGTGGTCAGTGGTATAAACCTTAGGTCTGATGAATAAGGCCTTCTTTTCACTGGCATCTCTATAGTGTTGCTCGACTTAGCTCAACTTTACATGGTGGTTTTTCATTACAATAGTTCTAACAGTGAAACCATTACAGTTGGGTGGCACCAGAGTTTGAAATGTAGTATGGCATGATCTTGTACAAACTGCTGCAGGTGTTGAAGCCGTGGATGGTGTTGGGGTAGAAGAAGTGGAGCTTGAAGTCCTTAATTTGGATTCTCTCTTAATTTGGAGAGTTAAGGGACTCTCCCTTAATTAAGGGAAGTGGAGATATACCTTTCATAGAAAGAGGTTCTGGAAACACAAAACATACATAAGGTGTAAATGCAATATATGTTCGAGCCAGTGAATAATCCAAGCAGAGCACATTGATAGCAAGTTAGTATTGCCTTGATGCAAGACACAACATCATAAGTTTCAGAATATTCTTGTTCGTTCAAAGTAAGCGCACCACTGAGGGACAAGTTGCATAGAAGAGTCTTTAAGTCATAAAACCATCATCCATTATGGAATACAGCAATGATGTTCTCAATTTCAATCAACTCTACCTGTTACTAGTTGCTGCCTGTAAATGGCGTCTGTTTCGTTGAACCACTCTGGCTGTTGTGTTGGTCCAGTAATCGCTTTACAGGGTTCTAATCGTCTTGCTGTTCACTGGTACCTGTAGGCAGCCATCAACAGAGTCACACTTGTCACTGCAAATCAACAAGGCAGTTAAAAGTGATTTACATAATAAAAACATGACAATAAATACACAAAAGAAAAGAAACGTTATATTACATCACAGTCAGTAACAGGCAATCTTCTGATGCTGCCTTCTTAGCCTGAGTTGGTACATTTGGAACTCCTGCAAAGTGGATCCTAAAAATGAGACAGGTAATTACTTAACTGTTACTTAACTGGGAATACCTTTCTAATCAAATAAAGTTAAGTTGAGCCATAATGAGTAGGTGCCAGTGGAAAAGGGCAACATGGGTAATCTCATATGTGCATTCCATGTGCTCCAGAAAGCAAATCTTGATCAATGTTTTGGAATAGTCAATATTTGAAACATATTTATTGAGTGTTGGATTACTTAAAATTCTATTTGGGCGTAGAGAAATTGGTGTTCATTGCTCATAAAAACCTCTTAAGGTTTTCATGAGCAATAACTAAATTTGGGTATGTAATAAATAAATTTGGGTATGCAATTTAAACACCTAAATTTCTATTGCACCTTTCAGATTTCTTTGTCACATTACTAAGCAAATTTTCATTTAAGGCTAAAACTACCTGGGTTAATGTGAAAAACTTTTAGCCTAAAGGATCTGTTTAAATAATTACTTGAGTTTATATAAAAACAAACATAAAACAGGGGAAATCAGTCATGGGGTCAATGTAAGGAATATCAACAACTCTTTTCAGAAATGCAGTTCTCAGAAAGTCATAAAAATTATACAAATGCTTGATTTTTATTTTTCCTTTAGCTTTTATTTTACTATTACAAAGTAAAATAAGTAAATCATGAATGAATTTCATATCTGACTGGAATTAAGGAGGAAGCATGGGCATCACAATGTAAGGAGCCATTCATTGTGTGCTCAAGTCCTACAATAGACTTAAAAAGAACACATCCCTTTTGATTTGGTTTGAGATATTCTATTTTGTTCAACCTCACACCTAAAGTATTTACATTCTACAGGTGCAACTTGACTTTTAGTTTATTCATGTAAACAGTAAGCAGAACAATGCACTTCACATATTTGTACATGAAAAGTACATGAAAAGTCCCATGTTCAGATATTTATTATATTTATAAGAATCTATCATAGATGCCATCTACAAGACCTCCTACTCAACATATTGTCATCAGAACTAATCTAAAAACAATCAGCTCTCTAAAAACACACACAAAAAAAACTGCATTTACTGTTTGCATCCTGATCACTTGAAGATTTGTGTGTCTTAACTTGTTGGATTGTTGTATCAATGTCTGTGTTCCCCAATCTTAGAAAGTATTTTTATTTTTATTTTTAAGGATTCATTGAATAAAAGACCCAAAATTTAAAAACTGGAATGACTCATTACTAAAATCTACAAAGATGGTTTAGTGATAAGATGGCTTAAGAGCCACTTATTGAAAGACAAAATAAAAGTAGAAATTGTCCTATTGTGTATCAGTTCAGTCATGTTCTAGATTAAAATAAAGTAGAATTGTATTCAGTTCACAGTACCAGTTGTCTTTGTGGGTTTACTGGGAAGAGATCTCACTGCAAGATGTTTCAGGAAGGACATGAAATGTCATAATGTTGGTTGTTGAAGAAGGACCCAAATGCAGACAAACAAAGGCATTAGTTAATTTAATGATGAATGGTTGAAATAATAATGGGCACTTGCAAAAATACAAAATCTAATGTTGCAACAAAAATAAATCCAAAAGAACATCAAACTTGGAGACCCAAGGAGAAAATAGGGAAGCACATAGGACTCCAGTAAATGATCATAAGGGTCTGATGAGGAATGGAAGTGAATGAGAGGCTAAAATACTGGGAGGTGGCGAGCTAGATAAAAGCAGGGCTGTTTAGTTTAATTGATTGCAGGTAAGAGTGATAAGCAGGAGCCAAGCTGAAGGCAGGGAGAAAATGGCACAGAGAAACTACAAGGATCTAAAGGGGAACACAAAAGAGTGGTAAAAGTAACAAGTGAGCTAGGAATAAATGTAATCCTAAGAAACAATAAGATACTGACAGTAAAATAACCAGAAAGAGAAAAGAGCATGAGAAGAAAACAGAGGAAACCCAAAATAGAAATAAGGCTGATCTAAAGATAAGAACTAAGAAACACAGAGCTAGAGTAACTAGAAGATTAACAAAGAAATAACCTAATTAGAATCACTAAAGAAAAATTGACAAAAAGACTAACTAAATCTAAAGCAACAAAATAAGAAGACTAGAAAACTACGGGGGGACTAGAAGGACTTAATAACTTAACCAAAGAAAGGTATACCTAGACTCAGACATGTAAGAATAACTGAAACCAGGGTGATGAAATAACTAAGAAATAAATATTACTGGAAGCACTACAGCAAGGCTGAAATAAGGAATAACTAGAAGGATAAACTAATAATCTAACTATAATCACTAAAGAAAGCTCGACATGGACTCTGACATCCAAGAATAACATAACCTAAGAAAACTAAAGAATAAACCTAACTAGAAACACTATGAAGGATTTAAAATAAGGAAAGCAATAATAGTACTAATCACACTAAATACCTCAAATAATAAAATCAAAAGGACTATGAAGGGCTAACCTAAAGAAAACTAAGACATAATAATAAATGAGGTCAAAACTAAGTCCAAAAACCCAGAGTTCTGACATGAACCAGTTTCAGTCTCATCCATAAGAAATAAAACATAACAAATTACAACACACATTTGTTAGATTATTCCCTCCCCAATTCTGATATCTACAACACAGATTGGAAACCTGACAGATCCTTACATCCTTTGAGCAGAAATGTCATAAACAATGGTGTCAACTCGTTAGGAAAGCATTGCTCTAATCTGACCTCTTGTAACAAGTAATCTAGCATGTTACTATGAACAATCCAATGATCTGATTCAAGTTATTCCAAGTCACTGTGTTACTATACAGTATTTTTGTTTTATTTAATAAAATAAAATTTTGCTTTCCTCTTTTTACTTGGAGAATTATGCATCATGAGTAACACCAGCGATAAAAATATGAACAATAGAGGGAAAAGAGAGATGCACATTTTCTAGCTGTTACAACTGGCACAAGGTCATAACAAAAACAGAAGACCTTGCAGGGGTTTAAGTACAGAAAAATAAATATTTATTAACAAAAATGATAATGGATTGTGGATGTCAGTATCAGTGGTGTAATGTAAATGCTTGGATGTGTTGTATGAGTGCTTGTGGAAGTGTAAGGTGCAATTCAAACTCAAATGTGCAAAAGGAGGAGAGGTGAGACTGACAACAGCGCACCACAAGCATCAAGAGCAGGCAGAGTGGGCGCCAAAGGTGATACAGAAGGTGAAGCCAGCCAGGCTTAAATACTCTGTGCTCCAAATCAACTGGACCAGTAACACCTGCAAAGGGGAGGAGCATAAAGACAGACAAAAGCATCTGCAACCTAGCCCACAAGGCCCAGGGTCGTAACGCTAGCTGATGGATTTTTCATTGAGTAATCAACATACTTATTCAAAGTAAATATGCAATCCCTGAAAACAAATTAACTAGACTATATGTCATATACATGTATATGTTTTATGATCTCAAGGTTGCAAACTGCCCCAAAAACATATTTTCCATTTGCTCTTCAACAAAATTTAATCAAGCATTGTGACTTTCATTCCAGGATAGAACAGTCACTTTATCATTTGCCACACAACAAGCAAGATAAATACTGAAGTAGCACACACAAGCTGGCTTCCAGACTCTGCTATATCTCATTGCTCAAAATACATTTGATTATTGGACAGAAATGCAGTTACATAAGTTGACTGGCAATTGACCTGGTTCTGCCTCTTTCTAAAGTAAAAAAAAAGATGTAAAATAGAACTCAGCAGTTTCACACTCAATACAGCAGTTTGACCAACAAACATAAGGTCTGAAAAACAGTTTTGTTCTTTCTGAGACTTACTGTGGATATTCTAACCCTAACCCCCTAACCCTAAGATTGCGTTTTTTGGGGGGGTTTTGCAAATTTCAGGAAGCAATCTCTTTATCTGAATAACTTTTCTCCAAATAACATCGGCTGATCAAACACTCATAGTTTCAGTGCAACAGTTTGCCTTACAAAAATAAATAAAAGGTTCTTTAGAGGTGAACAAAGGTCATACATGTGCAGTTTGGTGACAATCGGATGATCCGTGTGTGATTTAGAGATGACCGTACATGCTTATTGAAATTCACCATTCGGCCATTCCCATACAGTTCAGCAAACAGCGAGCATTGACAGAGTTCATCATGTCATTTTGTGTCAGTTGGCACAGAATTAAATCCATATAAATAATAGTAAAAGTAAAATATACACCAGAAAAAACAGGTAACTTTCTATCAAAAGTGGCGGGGCTAAGGTGATGTCATCAATTGAACATGACAATGTGATCAGTACTGGTATGTAGAGAGACGTAGGAAGTCTGATGCAGCTGTGACCTTGCATGTGGAAATTATTAAACCTTGATGTTTAATGGCGAATAGTCAAAATTTGACACTTGGCCACAGCCACATGTTTTGATATACAAGAAATCTTTTGATAACTTCTGACCTTCAATGCCTCAAGACTGTGCTGAGTGATTCTGGAGTCTGTATCTGAAAAATTGTAGGACAAGTTTGCTCACATACGACGTCTACAACACAGAGAAAATCACGGCTTTGATCCAAAATTGCCGATTTCCTGTTGGGTTTAAATCGTTGCTCCAAGAGACATTTTTGTAGACTGACCAGATACACATGTGTACCGAGTTTCATAATTCTAGGTTAAAGCATGGCTTGGGGCTGATCATTTAAAATATTCTATGGGGCTCTATAGAGAAATTAGGCCATGCCCACCAAAGATTGTGATAGGTTCCTGTCATCGAGTGGATAAAGATTCATCCTCGTGAGTTTGGTGAAGCTGGGCTTGAAACTGTTAAATTTAGAGCCAAACTTATGGCAACGGCATAACAGGTCACTTCCCCACGTCGCCACAGCCACCGGTCAGGGGTGAAATCCACATCACATCAGCATTTCTTTTGTCTCTGGACTCAGTTTCTCAGTTTCACGTTGATCAGGTCAAAGGGGTCAGATAGAAACCATTCAGAGTACAATTTGACACTTCCTGTTCTCAGGGGCGTGGCTTAGCTGATGTCATCATTTAACCATTGGGTATTGTATTGGGTATTGATCAATCACAAAATCTCTCTGAGATTTTGTGATTGATCAATACCCAATACAATCTCTCTGAGATTTTGTGTAGGAGATACAACAGTTTTATGTTTCATGGCCAGTAGGTGAACTTTGACCCCTGGTAACACCTCTTCTATTCATGAAAACGCACTGTTCTGCGTTTTCGTGAATAACTTTTAATCAGCCCGATAACTGATAACTTTTAATCAGCCATGCCTCATGAAAAGACTTACTAACTTTGAAGCCAGCCGATCAATCAAAATACTTAGGAGGAGTTTGATCAAATACAAAGGCTGTAAACGGCCAAAATGGGGTCAAAATCGGAACTTCAATCCAAAATGGCCGACTTGTGATCTGCTTGACTTGTGAGGAGCTCAAATTGTAATCAAGTATCTTCATGCTTTGAGTGAATTTTATATTTTGAAGAATGTAATCACACTTTTTGAATATTAAATATAAGGTTTTATATTGCTACACTTTCTTAAACCCTTTAGAAACTTGAATTCTCATTATAGTTTGAAATGTTCCACCTAAGGATAAGATGAATAACGTTGTTTGTATGCAACAGTTAGTTAAGGAGCACTAATTATGCTAGAACAGGATGTAGCTGTTCTAACAAGCAGAAATTTCTGTTAGAAATGTGCAACATCTTGTACAAACAAGAAAAGATAACTCCTTAAATGATCAGCAGCCAAGAGTGGAGTGTTTTATGCAGGAAATGATTTGACAGGTATAGTTTGTGTGTATGGGGATAGTTGGAGGGGTTCGCAATGTCTCTGGTTGCAAGGATGAGAGATAAAACTATGAAGTCCTCACTCTCACACTCAGACACAACCTCCTTTTGCAGGGACTTATTGCTGTTTGTCTCTCTGTGTTGCCCTGCGACAGACTGGTGACCTGTCCAGGGTGAACCCCGCCTCTCGCCCGGAACACAGCTGGAGAGAGACACCAGCACCTCCCGACCCCGTTAGGGAGAAGGGTGACCGGAAAATGCATGGATGGATAGATGTTTGTGGGTGACTTGATTAAATAAATGTCTTGAGAGTGATTTTACATTCCAGTTTGTGGCTCATTTTTGTGTGTTGCCTGAAATATCTAAGATCTGGCTAGAGAGATGTTTTGAAGCGGTTGTTTCCGTCTTTCCACACTTGCACTATGTTGAAAGACAACTCTACAAGTGTACCAAATTTCATGTCTCTCCGATGAAGTAAGGTTTTGACAGAGGGTATTTTGAAAGTTGCTTGGTGGCGCTGTTGAGCCATTTCTTGCGTGACCGAGCAACAACCTTAAAATACGTAAATTTCACAC